GCTGTCATTGTTTCCATGGTGGCAGCTATTTCTGCCACACCAAGGGCAACAGTCACCTCACAAAATCAAGTGGCAACAGCAGAGGTCAACCTGCTAACAACACCACCCAAGTCTTCAAAAAGACCACCCTTCTAGTTCAAGATGTCCGCACAGCCGTACTCAATTTACAAATCCAATTAAACTTGGTTTGGGAGGAATTAATACCCAGGTGTTAGATATTATAACTTTAAATAATGTGTGGGATACCATTTGGTCAAAAATTCAGGCTGGATGGAATAATTTGAGTAGTTGTATATGTGGACTGATACTGGGATCCCCATATATATTAACCTTGTTTGGCATATTGTTATTGTTATTTATTTTAAAGATCAGACGTGCCAGTAACAAAATCATAAAAATGTGGTCCTTTTTGGCTGAGGCTTTGGAGTCAAAGACAGAAGGGGCAATTGAGGATCAGGTTAAAGTCTGGCTGAGTCAGAAGCACCGCACCCATCTCTCCTGAGAAAACTCCGAGGCCTCTTAGGGCTGGAGTAATCCACCCGCTCGGGTGTGTAGAGATCTGGTCTTAGACAGATAAACTGTCCCTTTCAACAACCTCTAAAGTCGTGACTCCATTTGCCTCAGCCCCTAAAGCATACAATCCAAAAACTAGTATGTAGCCAATAACAATGTGCCAAATATCCTGACTCCCACCGTGGCTCTACCCCTGCCTTACCCTATCCAGTAGTAATCAAATAGTGCCACCCTGGCCCCATCCCTGCCTTACCCCTCATAAGCCTGTGCATTTGCTGAATAAAGTGAAAGTGTTCCACAAACTTCCCTGGAGTCTGCTTGGTGATTCCCCCGCCTTGCCCTCCCAGTACATTCCCCCCTGAACCCTGATCCACTCTCAGACGAAACAATACCCAGCCCTCCACCCTTCCTTGTTTATAAAGACATTGTTTCCATGTTTATCCTTTGCACATATTTTTATTTGCCTTCTTTCCTTTCCCCTACCCCTCCCACTTCCCCTACTCTTTTAGACATCTTCCTATTACACAGTATCAATTACACATTTTATCCTTATTTACATGTTTACATTTTCATAACAGAGAAACTGTTGGTATTTACACGTGTCTTACTAATTTCACTTAAGAGTATGTGCATCCACTTAGCTATAAATGTCTCTAGTTTCTCATTCTTTATGGCTGAGTAGTACTCTATTTTATTTTTAAAAATCACATCTTAAAAGCCAGCATGGTGGCGCATGCCTGTAATCCCAGCACTTGGGAGGCTGAGGCAGGAGGATTGCTGTGAGTTTGAGACCAGTCTGTACTACATAGTGAGTTCCAGGTCACTCTCCACTACATAGTGAGACCCTGTCTCAAAAAACCAAAAAAAAAAAATCACATCTTTATACAATTTCCAGTTGATAGGCAATTGGACTGTTTCCAAGTTTTAGCTATTACAAACTGTGCCCCTAAAAATGTGGGTGCATATATCACTGTGGTATGATGTTTTTAATTGGAATTATTTTGGAAAGATACCCAGCAGAGGGATGGCTGGGTCAAATGGGACCTCTAATCCTAGTTGTTCAAGGTATCTCCATATTGATTTCCACAGTGGTCACACCAGTCTGCACTTCCACCATTTTATATGTGTGTACAATATATGCATGTACATATATGTATGCATGTATCATTAAATGCATGTAACATGAAAACAATATTATATATCCATATATAAAATAATGTATAAATTGTTCCACATATTTAAAAAATGAATTGGTAGGTAAATCTCTAAGTGTACCAACCTTTGCTCATTAGTTTGAATAAACGCCTGTGATTGAGATTCACATTCTTTCAATTTTTCTGCATTTATTTTTAACAATAGATATATATTTTTGTTAAAATATTTTAACATTTAAATCTTACATGATAAATACTATGTCAAAATATATATATATATTCATAAGGAAAAGACCAAGAATAAAATTTTTTAAAAGTAAAATGCTTCCTCTACATGATGACTGGATAAACTAGGCTTAGTTCCAGCTCTTTGAGCTATTGTTAGAAACAAAACTGTTGAAACACTGATTTTGCATTCATTTTTTTGACTAACCATTATTGTTCTTCATACTGCTTGAATATTTCAACCACCCATATTTAATATCTGCATAGGAAATTTAAGGGAGTGATATGTAATCAAGATAATTGGGGGAGTGGCTTGTCCTAGAATAAGCTCAACATATTATTAGATGTTAATTGAAATTTTAATGTAGTTTTGTCAAAAGTAGAACTAACCTCTGATGGGTGTTATTTGCATTATTGTACAATATCCTAGATGCTCTTAAAAATGTATAGTTTGTGCTTAAGGGTAAATTACATAATATAAATGTTTAGGAATTTTGTAGTTCTCAATCCAGCTTGAGCTCATATACACAGAAATGCTGGCATTTTTTTTAATTGTTTAACATTTATAGAAGAACAGTTTTGATTTTGCGATGGTGGAATCTGGTTTGCAGAGGGTTTTGTCAATTTTCCAGTCATCCACTGAAGACTTAACCTCCGGTAATATGAGATGTGGTCCAATAAATAGCTTTCCTTCAAGTTAGTATTAATATCTTAGGAGTGTCTGAAAAAATAAGCTGTACTCATCCTTGCTGTCACATTTTTCCTTCACCCTGAAGTTAGGTGGAAAGGCATCGGTATTTGCATAAATCTCTATTCTGTACTGTGAATTGAATGCAGGTTTTTATTTAGGAGAAAATACAAGAGCGGTGATTTCTCTATCTGAGCTTCAGGAACATTTACTTCCTGAGAGAGAAATATTTTATGTCAATTAATATATACTGAAGGTGTATAAAATAATGATGTGTCTATTACTGAACTGTCACTGATCCGAACTTGATGGCAAATTACTTTCCAGAGGTCAGAATTGACTCCCTTCTGCTTTTTGTTTATTCACTTTTCAAAACAAAAAGGATTTTCTACCAACAGCTGGATTATAAATGCAACATAGCCTCTGAAAATTAGATTCCATTTTCTCTTTCCTTTATCTATCATGGATGATAAAGATATTGCCATTGGAATTCAGCTATGACTGCACAGATGATTAAGCTAAAGTCTAATTGGCTTTGCAGTATTAGCAGAAGCCAAAATGTAATGCTGGATCCCCCCACCACACCTGTATTAAAATAAACCTCTGTGATTCATTGTCTCCAAAGTCTGTTGATTAAGGAAGACTTTGTATATAGTAAAGACCTGATTATAGGAAAACTGGAAAATTTAAAGTTAAGTTTTTCATTCTGAACTTGTTGCTGTATAATGCAACAGTGTTCAATGTATCATTTAAAAGCATTCATATTTGAGATAGTTGGATAAATATTTTAAAGCTTGTGAAAGCCATTACTAAAATGAAAGGAAAGCGTGGATCTAAGGTAATGGAGGAAATAACTGCATTCCCAGCAGTACACTTTGTAGAATTAAGAGCAAAAGCTCAGAAGTTTAGGAGGTCCACTAGTGCCCAGGGCAGACTGGAGGTAGCAGTGAGAGCCCTGTACCTCCACTGCCACCATCCTAGAGAGTTGGCTGGTGGAATGCTCTACTTACCAGGCAAACCAAAGCGCTCTCTTTGGTGACTGAAGTAAACAAATACCAGAGAACCAGGACATGAAATGAGAAAATATTTCTCTGACAAGCCTTAAACTTGCTATTATTTTTCTTCAGTGTCTCCCTGTAGAGTTTTTTAGCCAGACCTCGCACACAACCTAGAGACTGTTATTTTTTTCCAGCCTTAAAATTCTAAAGTAATTAGAGCTGTGCAGTTTGACTAGGTTTTCTATGATTTAAAAATTAAAAGATGACAGAAATGGAATTCTGATGTTTTAATGATACATCTCTAATAATGGTCACTAAGCTTATTTTGCATAAATATTTGATCTGAATAATTATAAGTCCCCTGTGAACCATCCCATGAGTTGGGAATCTATGGGCCCACAGTGCATAATAAATATCATCATCTCATTTGTTATTTTTGTTGTGAATTTGGTGCAGCGATGAGATTAATCCACACATTTATCTATTTCTGAGAATGTTCACAAAATTGTCCATACTTCTAAAGAGTTTGTACGCTACCATTATTTTAATTTTATCTTCAAAATTCAAATTAGAACTGCTGGGTCATGATATGGCTATATAGTTTCTTCTAACTTAGTATGGGTAATGAGGAGCTGTGGTTCTTTGGAAATCAAAAACATTCTGCAGTCCACATACAAGGAGGTAATGAGGGATCTGAGACAGAGACGTTGCCTAAGAGCAAATATTACAGTACATCTCATTAGTTGCACATGTTGAATATTATAAAAAGTTACTAAAAATGTAGTGGTACATGAAGACCATTGGAAGAATGAGTATACCACCCAACACTCCATTCCAAGTCCATCCTTTTTTCAGTACTAGGAATTGAACCTAGGGCCCTCCTTTTAGCTATATCCCCAGTCCTTTATTTTTTTTATTTTGAGGAAGGGTCCTGAAAGTCACTTAAGTTGTGCAAACTGGCCTTGAACTTGCAATCATCCTTCCTCAGCCTTCCAGAATGCTGGAATTACAGGCATGGGCTACTACACTCATTTAAAAAAAAGGGAAAATTTTGAGTTTAAAATGTACATTTGTAAATCATGAAGCAATAGCTTACTTAGGAAAGAAATATCAAATCTTATAAAAAACAAGTTTACTTTTGTTTGGTCTGAATTTTAGATTCCCAAGTTAAAATTTGAAGTATGTTAACAGTAATATTATAGTGAAATGTTATGTTGAAAGAGGGCTTTATGAGCATTCATTACTAACAATCCCTATAAAGTCTACTTTAAGACACAGTCAACAAACAAAATAGCACAAGAATCCAGGAATTTAAGGTTTCTCAGGAAAAACATCATTAATTCTCACATATTCTGTGCATATATCCATTGGAGTGGGTGGGAATATATAATGACTAAATGGTGTTTATTTCTTCTGTTTTAGGGGCTGATGTTATCAACTTTGATGGCCATGTTGTGTTACCATATAGATTCAGAAACAAGAAGATGAAAACCCTGAAAGATGTCATTGCCCTGAAATTTAAAACATCGGAAAGTGAAGGGGTGATCCTCCATGGAGAGGGTCAGCAAGGGGATTACATCACGTTGGAACTGCAAAAAGCCAAGCTGGTCCTCAGTTTAAACCTAGGTTGGTTCTATCTCTCGGCATCATGCTTTCGAATTATTAGTATTCACACTAGAAAAACATTAAGTTACTTAGTCCTTCAGAATGTAAATGATAGGAGTCATCTTACACTGTCCATTCCTTCTTAGCCCTTGGAAGCTGTTATATACTCATACATAATTTTCTTCACAAATATTTGTTAAGCACTTGTCATATGCAACTATACAAGTCTGTAGCATGCATCACGGAACAGATAGGCAAGGTCCTTCAGCTCGTGAAACTTATAAACTAGTGCAGGAGTTAGATTATATATTAGATTTTATTAGAGTTTTGAAATTAATAATTTCAAATAATAACTGAGATGAAATCAGTTAAGTAGGTTAATAAGACTATGGACATAGTTTAACACACCCCTTTCCAAAGCAGTGTAGTAATGTGAAAAGTCTATGAAGAGAAAAAGCAGTGTTCAAGCTTAAAACTAAGTGAAGATCAATTAATCAATGAAAGCCTAAAATCATGAAGGGGAATAGGATTCCCCTGGAAGGCACCCATGCTTGCATGCTGAGGGACCAGAAAGAAGGCTGGGGTGGAGAGATGTGTAATTGGGATCAAAGATGCAATCAAAGTGGTGGAAATTGTTTAAATCCTGAGATACTGCAGGCTTGCTAAAGGGTTGACATCTCATTTTGAGAAGTGATGGTTCCAGGGGGGACTTAAACTATAAGGTGATCTTAATTTTAAAAGTGGACGAAGACTTCTTTAAGAAGAATTGCTTGTGTCCGCATGAGAACCAAAGCAAGACTCCTGTAGATCAGGAGACAGAAGTTCTCAGTGAGGTGGTTCTCAGTGAAGATGCAGAGAAATGTGTCTATTAGGGAGATCACTTTACTGGTAAATTCAGCATGACTTGTGGTGAATTGGAGATGACATGAAAAGAGTAGAAACAAAGAATGATTCCTAAAATTTGGGCTTGAGCACAAAATGGATGTTAGTGTCATTTGCAGAAATAGAAAAACTTTAGAAGGAACTTCGATCTGTTTGAACACAGAGCGTTTGACTTGCCTGTGGCATGTCTCAATAGGAGTTTCTTTTATAGAATTGTGTGTATGGGCTAAAAAGAGTACTTGCATAGGCACCAAGAAGAAATGGATAGTGAGAGTGAAGAAATAAAGACTGTGTAGAATCACAGAGACCAAGGAAAGTAAAGAAGTGACTGATGCTGTTCAATTCATCTAAGATGACATAGGAAGCGAAGATAGGAAGTGAATATGGGCTTTAGTGACATGGAGGGTAGTGTTGATTTACTCTTCATGGAATATTAGAAAAGCCTGTTTTATTGACTTCTTTCATGGGTAAAGAAAGGGAGAAAGATTGTGGAAATCAACATAGTCAAAATACAAATGAGAGAAGCAGTGAAGGGAAATACTGGCCAGAGAAAGAGGTGACTCAAAGGAGTTACTGTTTGGAGTTTTATGGCTTTTAAGTAGCCAGTGTGGATACATGTACGTATGTTAATAACGGAGCTAAGATTCACTTAAAGCTAATCAAAAGCTCTGCAGCATTGGTACTGGAATACAAAATTACAATTCATGCAAAGAAATGATCTCTCTTGGCTAACAAATTTAGGATCTGTATAAGGATTTTTTTCATGGTTGTATGTTCTCTAAATTTTTTTGTTGTAATGAAATAATTCAGCAAAAATTTTACACTTTGAAATATACACATATCTAAAATTCACATGTCTAAATTATCACAATAGAAAGCTACAAAACTGAAATATTAAAACATCAAAAGGGAGCCCTGCCTATTTGATTTCCTAATCAGTTACCAACTAGTGTGTCCAGACATGTCTGAATATGGCTTGGACCTGATATATTAACTTTTACTACTTTGAAATTTAGTATAACATCAAAAATGCAACTTTAGTTTTATGTAGGTAATGACTATTTTACACATAGATCCTGTACAAAGTAGAATTTATCAGGATATAAATCTGACACGATAGAAATACTAGCTTCTGTAAAAAAAAAAAATCACACAAAAACTCTGAATCACTTAATTACATTAAGCACTAAATGTTTTTCAATGAAATAACCAAAATTCATATGAAACTTAGGAAAATATAAATTTCAAATATGTAAAGTTAATGCCACTCATTATTAGGAGACTTTGATACTTCATAATAATAATAATAATACCAAGCATTAGGAGAAAATGTAGGTATTAGATGCAAAAGATAACTCATTTAAAAATACATAAACATTTGATAAGCACCAAATGATCATACTATCTAAAAAGCACAATAAAATAAAGATACTAATTTTTGTCTTAGAATGAAGATATCAGTGTTGTGTATATAACATAAAAGGCATTTTTTACTGCTCTGTAAATAAAATATTCTTAGGAAAATAATTTGACAGTATATCTTTAAACATTTAAAATAGTCTATATATTTAGTCCAGGAATCATAAGAAAAAAATTAGAACTGACCACTATCCAATGTCCAATATCAATTATAATGTCAAAAATTGGGGGCAAAAGTTAACTGTATAGAATATACATGAGTATTTAAAATGGATGTGCTAATTTTGTTTTATGGGAAGATACTATATAAAGTGAAAATTATGGAGTATGAACTACAGATAATATATCAATGACTTCATAGTAAATATATAAACATCTAGGCACATATAAAATATTTATGTTCAAATGCATAATTATCCAGTATTATCTCGGTTCACAAACTTAATTCTGGAAAGTAGCTCATGAACTGTATGTACCACTGTACATACATTTTAAATTTTCTATATAGAGATAATTTGAAATGTACACACATTTTAATTATATGTATTTATAATTTAAATATATGTAGAGAAACACCTGTAAGAAGATAGACCACAGTATTTGTAATGGTAGCAAAAGTTTTTATTTTATTTTACTTTTTGATTCTTTATAATGTTCTCTCCAGGTAATAATGAACCTGTATATGTTGTGCTGCCTGGGAAAAAATTTAAGCTATGTCCAGTAGAAGGAAAGAGGGAGGGATTAAAGAAAAGGAATTAGAATCAAAATATAAATATTTCGGTAAAACATATGCTTTCATGAGCACATGTGCGCGCGCACACAGCAGTTATAAAATATCTAAAGGTGCTTATTTTTTTCAGACTTATTTTCTTGCCAAATGAATCCCACAGGGTAACTTTTAAATAAAATGGTTTACTGTAGCTGTGTGACATTACCTTTCTGAAACAAGTACCTGGTACATGACCTTACAGAAAGGTTCCCCACCTTTTCACCAGAAAGCAGTATACTGCCGGAGTTTTACTGACTCGCAGGATTCATGACAGCCACAGGAACACAAACACCCGGGTATCTCCAGAGAGGAGCGCGGACTATGGAGCAGATTGTCTTCCAGCTGCGCAGTCTTCTCCCTCTAGCCTTGACTGCAATAAAACAAGTCCTGGCCTTGTGCATAGATTAGTCCGCCTTTCTTTGGCGGACTAATTAGTTCGCCTTTCATTCTCTCTGTCTTCACATGCTCCGAACCTCCACCGTGTATCAGCATTTTTTGGTTATTTTTGTTTTTTGTTTTTTTTCTCATTGAGTTTATTGGTACATTTTAGGTACACAGTACAGTTACATTCATCATTGGGATCTTGTACCTTTACATGACAGGTCTTGGTTCTCATTTTTTCCCCTTATCTCTGTCCTCCTCCCTTTACCCTCTCCTCCCTTCCCTATTTACAAATACTTTATTTCCATTTTTTCATTTTCTCATATTTTTTTCTTTTCTCTTACTCCTTGCAGGTCGGGGGGGGTGTCCCCCTCATCTCTCCCTGCCTACAGTTCTTTATCCCTACAACCCTCACCAGGTCCTCTAACTCCAAGGTCCATTTGACACTGATTTCCTAAAGAACCACCAAAATTTATCAAAATTGTGGCACAGAAAAAAAAACTAAGTTTTTGTAGTTACTTGTAAGACAGGAGATGTTTCATTTTCATCTTTACTTTTCTGCACTTTGAACATGAAAGTGTTTTAAGCTCAGGCACCTCCTAGTTCTCCCATCCTAACTCCAAGGGACAGAGCCAGGAGAACATCAGGTTCTCATGTGTCAACTGGGAGATCTGCAGCTCCCCAGAGTGGACTGGGTGGTCATTGTCTTGTTTCCTTCTATTTCCACGACTCAGGAAGCAACCAGCTTGGCCCCATCTATGGACACACGTCGGTGATGACCGGAAGTCTATTGGATGACCACCACTGGCACTCTGTGGTCATGGAGCGCCAGGGCCGCAGTATCAACCTCACTCTGGACAGGAGCCTGCAGCACTTCCGCACCAATGGAGAATTCGACTACCTGGACCTGGACTATGAGGTACAGTTACCCACAGCCCACACAAACAGCCACGTGTACAATGTGCTGTGCATCCAGAGCCAGCTTCACACGCTGACTGTATTGTGATGTCGCTGTTCATTGTATACTTACTGGTACCATTTTTTTCTTCTTCTCTCAAAGAAAAAGGAACTTACATCATGAAAACATAATTTATGAAAAAAAAATCACTATTCATCTCTAGATATTTTAATCATGAGCATTTGATATATGTTAAAAATCTAATCTCAATACTAAAATAATAATTTGAAGACAGAGACTGTGCTATAAGGACAGTGCTATTATGAGCTCAGAATAAATTGAAATTGAAATTGTTCTAGGTGCATCTTAGTCAAGTATGTATTACTACAGTGAAGTACCTGAGGCATCTAACATCATAAAAATAGTTATTTAGCTAACAGTACTGAGGTTCAAAATCCAAGATCAAGTGGCCCTGCTGGTTTGCCCGCTAGTAAAGGTCGCAGATGGTGGTACCTTGTCCCAGGAGAGTGTGTAGAGCCAATGGTCACACCTAAATTTGGGGCAGAGAGGAAGATTAGGATCCCATAACCCTCTCTAAGAGCACCTTCCAGGAAAGAGGCACCTCCCACTACACCTACCTCTCTATGATCCATAGCATCTTCCAATACAGTACTGCAACTCTGGGAAACAGCAGGTCACAGCATGCGGGAGTTCCCATTCCTTGTGTGTGCCATCCAAGGCTGGTTGCAGTTAAAGGGCAGGAGGGGTTCATTTGTTCCACTAGCTATCTTCAGCGACGTCAGTCTCTAACCTTCTTATTGCTGGAGGTTCCAGTTAGCTGCTGTAGAGTGCCACAGAGAAAACAAAACAAAGCAAACTGGTGGCCAGTGGCCTGTCGGGGAGGGAGTGGCTTCCTTATGACACGCCCCTGTGCATGTGTGACACTGAAATTTGTTGCCAGGCTGCAGTGTCTTCTGTTTGCATGAAGGCAGAAAAGGTCAGGGGCTTTATATTCCTTATGTATTCTGTGTGTTTTGAGTGTGTGGCACATTTGTTTTTTTTTTAATCTGTTTTTTTTTAATCTGTTTTTTTTTTTTTAACTCAGCCTTGTCAGCTGGATAATCGTTTTATAAAGTCCTGTGCTTGTGTTTTATTTAATCTACAAGTCTCTTATTTTAGATTGACTTTGGCATCAGGATGTATGTCTCTTTTTTTCTTCCAGTTACCTCTTTTTTAGTTGATTCTCTCCAAGTAGCTCCTCCCAGAATGTTTTGAAAGTTTTTATGTGAATTAAAAGGCACATTTTACATTTCAAAAACTAAAGATTTTGTTACAGAAGGAATCAGTAAGTGACACACAGAGAGACAGCAGAATGGAAGTAAAATAACAAATTTACTTATTGATAAGGGTTGATTGCACATAAGCTGTGCGTAGATCATCGATGCACTGGGTTACAACTCCTCCTTTTGTAGGGTTTTACAACTTTGACTTCATTTGGATGGTTGCATTTCATTCTCACAGTTCAAATCATGGTCACAGGAGAGTTAACTTTCAACCCAGACGTAACAGTTTTTTGCTTTTGGGGACTTTACTTTTAAGATTTGCCTAGTTATCTATCCTAGTCCGTAGGAAGGTGGATGTTCAGAATCAGGGGAGCAAACGTTAGCAATGGGTTCTTTATATCTTGACACTTTTACAATCAGGTGGCTTCAATCTCTCCAGAGCTCAAGACCTTGATGTGCCCTGTTATCTCAGTGTAAGACCAAATGCCTTATTCAGCAATTAGTGCCTTTGGTGCCTCTTAGTTCTGAGCTAAACAGACTACAGTTAGTGACAGCAGAAGCTATTCTATATTATGACACATCATAGGTTTTCATTATTTATAAAAGTGTCCGCTATCAATTTAAGAATAACTGATATCCGAGATTTCAGATACACACATGCTACATATATACATGTATTAGGATATACACACATATTCTCATAAATTCTAGTGGGCATATTAGATTTCTTAATAAATTATTTGGGAAAGAATTTAAATTGTCTATCAAAACTGTTAATCATATATAGGGGTTATAATTTTTATGGATTTGTGCATCATAATTTTGTTTATAATAGGAAAATAAGGGAAATGCTAAAGGTACGAAAGCAGTATATTTTTGTTTTGTTTTGTTTTTTCACATATACATGAAGATTTTATTGGTACTTTTTAGGTATACAGTACAGTTACATTCGTCATTGGGATCTTGTACCTTTACATGATAGGTTTTGGTTCTCATTTTTTCCCCATACCCTCCACCCTTCCCTATTTACAAAAACTGTTTCCATTTTATCTTTTCTCATATTTTTTCTTTTCTGTTATTTCCTTTCCCCTACCCTTCCCACTTCCCCTACACCTTTAGCCCTTTTCTTCCTATTTCACATTATCAGTTATACCATTTAGATTTTATCAAAAGCAGTGTATTAATACAATTTTTAAAAAAGAATATTATTCAGCCAGAGGTTTCCAAACTTTCAGAGTTTATGCAATCTTTAGAGTCTTAATAATTTTTCCATAGCATTTATAGGCTTAGGCCCAATAATTTAAAAATTATCATCAATAATCTGGTAGCCATTTGAAAAAAAAACTTTTTTTCATTAAAATTTTTTAAATAATAGTAATTACTTGATAATAGAATAAGCGTGCCTTTCCTGGACACTTCATATTTTAGAATCAAACTTGATACTTCCCTTCTTTACGTGTTCTAATGTTTTTGACCTTATATGATACTCTTTATGCCATTCACTTTTTACTAGAGGAATGACCTCAAACTCAGTTTCACAAAGACAGAAAATCATTAGAAGGAATGTAACATGATCAATGTTACAATAGCAACCCCCTCAAGCTTGTGTTTCTAACAATATGCAAAAAGATGCCCACTGCTACTGTGGCTCCTTTGAAAATGTGACTTATACTGTGACACCCTCCAGTGTTGTGTGCCTTGCTACCCAGGTCTGAGATTACAGATGTAGACATGTTCTTACCTCTAAAACAGTGAGAAATCAGAATTTTTAGCTTTTTTTCTGTTTTCTATTTATGTTTAAGTAATTTCTAAATTCTGTGTAACATAAAATATACATTCTTTTTTTTCTTTTTTCTTTTTCCTCTCATAGAGTTTATTGGTACATTTTAGGTATACAGTACAGTTGCATTCATCATTGGGATCTTGTACCTTTACATGACAGGTCTTCATTCTCATTTTTTCCCCCTTGTCCCTGCCATATTCCTAAATCAAAATTTGGAATGGAATATATTATGTAAACCCTGACAGAGATTTTAAATAATTGGACTCCAGCAAATATCTTCAAAGCAAGATGATTATCGGAAAAAATGTAAAAATCAAAAATCTGGGCTGGGGATTTAGCTTAATGTTTCTGCCACCTGCCTCGCAAGCACAAGGACCCAAGTTCGATCCCTGGTACCAAAAAATAAAATAAAATAAAAATAAAAAATCCTAGAGGTTTTTTGTCTTCTGTAAGTTAATATGTCCTAGCTCTTGTGACTGGACTCCCAATGAATGAGAGAATTTAAAGATGAACTATTCATCTCCCATTAATGAATCCTAGAAGAGATGAGAAATCTTGAAACATCAGCGTTGGGCAAACAAAGCTCTAATTTTCAAAAAAAATAGAATTAAAATCTTTGGGTCATAGACCCAATTGAGTTTGTTATGAAAGCTATGAATATTCATGGACACACAGAACTTTCTTCACGGAGTGTCCCTGGGAACCCCCCCATATGTAACATCACACCAGGAATCTCAGCTGTACACAGAATGCCGGGACATGTCTGTTAGAGATACTATGCAGAAATTCAAATTTGTGGGGAAACAGGATAAGCATACTTTTTTTTTTCTCTTTGCAAAGCTACTGCCTGATAACTAACTAGCCTCTAAAATGGTGCAGTTATTGGCATGAGGTGCACTGGAAATGGTTGAGCTTACCTTTTTATTCTTATGCATCCATCTTAAAGAAAAGAGGTTCCCTTTAGTTAACCTTTTTAAAGGAATCTGGGGACCATGTTAGAATAGTCTCTCTGTGTTGTCAAACTTGTCTCCTTGATGGGTGTGTGTAGCAACTAGGCTCGTACTTCAGAGGCTGCAAGAGAACTAGCTTCAGGCCTAAAATAGAACCAATTACATAACATCCACACTAAGTATTTGAAGTCTGCTGAGAGTATCAGAAACCTATTTTGTTGTTTTTGTTGTTGTGGTGGTGGTTGTTGTTGTTTTCATAAAACCAGAAGGTGTGGTGTCTGACTTCCCTGAGATTGCACTGTTCCATTTTATCCAGAAGTGATCTAAGACCAAGGTCACAGAGACAAGGGCATGGATGGGCTGGTAAATGCCTAAAAGAGGGTTGAAGGGGAGGAATGCCCTGATTTATAGCATGATTTGATTTTCATAGTATAAATATCCACCATAGTTGATTTCTTGCTAACACCTTCGGTACTGAGCACTGGGTTGGAAAGAAGTACCCATTAGCACATCATTGTATAATACTCATATCATGTAGACACAAAGTGCAAATAACCTCCACAGTATATAATATAGTAAATGTACATTCAAGTTCTGGATACTAATTTTCTGTTTAATGTATTTTCTTTATTTTAAATCTCACAATGACTCTGTTTAAAATCATTTATCATGAACCAGTATCAATAGGCTCCTGTACAACATTGCTAAAGGTAGATTACGAGGCCTGTCACCATTAGTAGAGATAGTTATCATAAAAGAAGCACCAAGTTTATCTTGGCCCCTTTGCTGTAATTTAACATGGAAAGTTTTAGTGGCCTAAGAGTTGATTTCATTCTCTCCCCTCTGTAGGGAATGAAATGATTCATTCACCATTTTCCATCAAGCTGCTGGCTCCATAGCTGCCTAGCATGAATATGGTGACATGAATACTTGCTTCATTTTCCTCCTCCAAGCCAATGAAACCAAAGGGCAGAACATAATTTGGTGTTTGGCTTGGGCTTTCTCTGGTCTTCAATTTCCAAGATACACCTCCTTTGCATATTACACCATTGTCTTTTGCAATAAATTCTGCTTACAGAGTCCCCCCCAACCCTGGCTCATAGCAGAACCATAAGGTGGATAGCCTTACAGAGAAAATCAGTCACATAAGACCAAACAGGACTTGAAGTCTGGATTTAAATTGCTTTTGGACCCTTACTGAGATAATTCATACTCTCCTAGTACAAAATGTAGATAATAGCCTATAATATAAATATAAATGTATATTTCATGTATGATTGCCGTGTGTGTATACACACACACACACACACACACACGCATACATACACAAGCATATATATGGCTTATAACAGATCATGTTTATCCTTTTTAATATCATAGGAATCTAGACTCCTTTTGCCAGTAACAGTTAAAATGGTAGCTCTGTGCCAGTCCCCTTTCAAGTTCCTGGTTCTCTGTCCGTGCCACAATTCAGAGAAAGCTGTCACATCAGTGTGCATTCCAGCTAGCAGAAAGGAAGAGCTCATGGAGGGGATTGCTTCCTTCCTCCTGAATGACAGTCTTTGGATACACACACAGACCTTCCATTTAAATATTAGCAAACAAAATCTAGTTTCAAAGAGGTTGATAAATGCTTTATGTTGAATTGGTAGCCATGTATGCAGCTGCAAGGCATTACTTTTTCCCTAAACAGGATGAGAGAAAGCACACTTAGAAATATCTGGTGATCTATGCTGTACTTTGTAAATACTTTCTGGCTAGTAAAATCGTTAATGCGGTAATATATTTAGAGACAAAGTTAGTGGATGAAAGTATCATTAAGAAGACTATCATAAGAGACACAAAAACATTATTGATCTGACAAACTCAACATCCTTTTACAATTACAATAATTACAATGTCCAAAAAATTTGTGTACCAACTACTAAATTTTCCCAGTGGGAATATGTAACTAGAAATAGTAGGCAACAATGTAATATCATATGACTATTTACATAAGGAACTGGGATCAGAAACCATTTAATTGCTAGAAATCTATTTACTTGAGCCTGTTATGCTTCAGCAGGGCCCCTTCCATGCAGTAGGCCCTGTGTCTAGAGTTGTCAAAAGCAGGAAAAAGACACGATATTTGAATAATCATCCGAAAGAAAAATGAAGCTCCAAATTAAGAAATTATGTACACAGAGAAATAACTTAAAATTACTATTTAGTGATATTACTCAAAATGTGATGCATGTGATCAAACACATTTAATTAATATCAAGTCTGGAAGAAATTGATAAAACAAATTGAAACCAGGAAGTATAGCACTCCGCTTAATATCAATGACTATTATCATTGGTATCGGGGTCAATTATGAATACCTGATAAGATCAGTTAAGGGAACTTGAAAACATTTTTCTGGAATTTCTGCCATCTTAGATTACATTCTGTTTGTGCTTCTGCAGTTTCCTAATCTTTTTATATTTTTTTTTCAATTTTCTCATTCTTTCCTTACCTCAGAACTCTGTGTCAAATATCATATACATGATTAATATTGTCTAATTTGTTTGACTTTTATTATTATTTTATAAACAATAATTATGTTTTTCCCTAGAACTAATTGAGCATTTTAAATGCCATAAGACTAGGTAATAGAATATGACCCTCCTATACATAAAGATACTTTATGTTTCAAATATGAAATTGTGAGTTTTTAAAATGCTTTTTCTATTGCTTTGACTTTCAAAAATATAAGAATAATTGATGATGAGAACATTGGGAAAAATGTACAGAACTAAAATCTGGTTTTTGTATCTTGATATTATAATTATGATTAATAGTTACATTTATTTTCTAAACAGTAATAGTAGGAAATGTCATTTCTGGGAATCCAGACTTTAATTATAATATTGTATTATGTGTATTTGATGTTAAAACACTGTAAATTAACCAAAGATACACAGTAAACTAGCTCCTTCTATAAACAATAGTATCTAAAGGAACACACTAAGTAGTATTTGGGTTAGGGTAGCATTTGAAAGACCTATAATGTTTTTAAGAATATACCACTCAACTCATAGCCCCCAAGTGCTAAGAAGTCCCTAATCAAAATACTAATGACGTTTTTGGCTACTTTCTATATTGAAATCTAATGAGCTTTATGACTCTCCTAGTCATTGGACCATAATAAGTGTGCAGAGCAAAAATATATTATTCTTTGCTTTGGTCTACATTTCTCTCAAGTACTTATTATATTAGTACTTGTTATCTAGAAGATTGCTAGAGGCATTTATTGATAATATGCCTTTGAATGATAAACATGAAAATATACTTTTAATACTACTTGATAAAAAAATTTACCGGATAAAATATTTTAAAACGTTCTCAAGAAAATTCACAAAATGCCTTTGGGTAGCAAAAAACATGCAAGGGATTGTTGCTATTACATTGCTCAAGTTATAATTCTCAGAATTATTGATTCTATTTTGCACTTCAGTAACAATATAATGAGTAGATTTAGCAGATAAAATATCATAATGTTTGCATATTTTGATTGAGATAAAGATACTAGTGAGATAAAGATACTTAGCATTGCCTGTATTCATAATATTTTTTCATTTATATAAGACATTTACATTTAATTTTTTTTCTCCAAGATAACTTTTGGAGGCATACCTTTCTCTGGAAAGCCAAGCTCCAGTAGTAGAAAGAATTTTAAAGGCTGCATGGAGAGCATTAATTACAATGCGATCAACATTACAGATCTTGCCAGGAGGAAGAAGTTAGAACCATCCAATGTGGTAAGAGACGGCAAGCCAAAATTTTGGTTCATTAAAATTATCAAAGAGCTGTTTCTTTTGTATGGAGTGTTGAATGGCCACTGCCCATTCATAAAATATTTCATCCTGGATGTGCTGGGTTCAACAGTGTAAAATAATGATGAATTAACATTAATTAAAAATTCAACTTTGAGAAAAATTTTCTCATAAGGTTTGTTGAAAAGAGAAAGATAGTAATAGTTTCTATAGGACCATGGATTAGGCATGTTATACATACTTATGATAACCTCAGAACATTTTTATAAGAATAATATAAGGATTTTTAGATGAGAACAGTAAGATTTCACCCAGAATAATAATTTTGAAGGTGACTTCGTGTCATAGATATAGATTGAGGAGTCACAATATGTGACTTCTAAGGTTATGGTCTTCTTCTATAATACGTTATTTTTACCTAGAGAATTCTTATATTTAGCACACATTATATGTACACATACATAGTATTTTAAGCTTTGCATGATATGGCACCAGAATCCTTCTGATTATTTTTTCTTCAGAAAATGTTGCTGAAGGAAGAAAGGCACAGACTCTCAATTGTCATAATCCTGTTTCCTGCACCTTTAAGCAGAGATAAAATGATATTTTTGCTCAGACCTCAGCTTTGGTCCTGAAATGTATCTGTTCAGTACTCAAACTACAGAGAATTGTGCTATGGAGACTCATTCTAAAATCAACCATAACTGCAAAATGTACTCTGGTTGTAAATGCAGTTTCAAATGTAAATAAATAGCAGAAACATTCCATAAAATACAGATGCTCTATAAATGTATTCTATTTTAACAAGTAATTGTACAAGTAGATATGGAATAAACTTTTGAATAAAAGTATACATGTATTCTGAAAATTTTAGACATGATAGAAACAAGTAGAGCATTTTCTAAGCAGTCCCACCAAGGAAAATATATAGAAAATTTTCTTTCAAAGACGCTAGTTCCTGATATTTAAGTGAATTCACTCAGTGTTTGTTCTCCCCCTCTGCACACATGCACATTTCCCCATTGTGCCCCAACTCCAGAGTCAGAAACAGTCTTCAATTTCTCTCAGTGACAATCCTCATAACACAAATATATGGTCAATGACCACATTTCAGCTATTGTACCTAGGTAGTTCTTTCCATTGGTAAAGCAAGCTTTTAAAAATAACTTTCTGTGAAGCTACAGAGCAAATTTAATTTAAATATTATCTCAGAGAGACATCGTGCCTTTGACTTAGTGGTTAATATGCTAAAATGGAATAGCTGAGCACCTGTGAAATATATGTAGTGTTGTAATATACATGTGTGCATATATGTATGTATTGATGTGTGTATACCTATACAGAAGTATGAGAGAGAATCAATGAAAATGTCATTAAATTATGCTCCTTTAAATATTAAAGTTGGATAAAAGAAGTTAGAAGCAAGTGTAAATTGTCAGATCTTTAAAGGAAAAGTACTCAGGCACTAGAATATGTAATTCACTGTGTATAATTCAGTGTGAATATTCATTCAGTATGAATGTTTATGCCAAAAACACATAAATATTGATAGTTCAGTTACCATTAATGCATTGTGATATAAACACATTTCATAAAAATTTAAATGAATTTTGAATTCATAAAAAAATAATCAGTTATACAGAAATTATATAGTTAATATAAACCCGTAGATAGTAGCTATATAGATAAACCCAAAGGTATTTGTATTTGTTGCAAAATGTCAGGCCAATACATAGTTACCAAATAAGCCTAATAGGGCCGGGGATTTAGCTCAATGGTTTGGTGGCCTGCCTTGCAAGCGCAAGGACTGGAGTTTAATCCCCAGAAAAAATAAAAAATAAAAAATAAGCCTACTCTGGATCCCACTGAGACCAAAGGCATCATGTACTGGTGGACACTGGCACTGCCACACTGAAGAGGGCAGGGGCTGGCTCTCCTCAGGCTGGGTTCTGCCAGCACCTGTGCTGTGTCACTGTCTGGAAAAGGTCCAGTGGTCCACACTGAAACCCAAGAAGCACAGGCACTCAGTGCTTGCTATGGTCAGCCCATCAAATTGTGGAACAGTTATCCATCTCCAGAAGTGTGATGCTTTAACATCCTTGCCCAGGGGGCCAGCTGCTGAACAATATTGGGTCTCACACTCCTGGAGGTTCCTAATGATGAGTGTGCTCAATGGACCCAGGGCTATGTGTTCTGTGTGGCAGAGGCTCAGACACAGCTTTAAGACTTGTAGATCACTCTTTCTATAGTCCTACATGGCTGCTCATTTTGTTCCACATTTGCCTGAAAGCCCATCTCTTTCTGTTTTGTAGGGAAACTTGAGTTTTTCTTGTGTGGAGCCCTACACGGTGCCCGTCTTTTTCAATGCAACCAGTTACCTGGAGGTGCCTGGGCGGCCTGAACAGGACCTGTTTTCAGTCAGTTTCCAGTTTAGGACTTGGAACCCCAATGGTGTCCTGCTATTCAGTCACTTTGGGGATAACCTGGGCAACGTGGAGATTGACCTCATGGAGAGCAAAGTTGGCGTTCGCATCAATGTCACTCAGACCAAGATGAGCCAAATTGACATTTCCTCAGGTCAGTGAAGTCTCTTTGACATTTTCCCTTAAACTACTATTGTTTTCCAAAGCTCATAGTGTGTTTTGTTTTGTTTAGTGGGTGTTATATGCTCCTGATTATGCTTTAATTCAGATGTTTGAGATAACTTCTTATTTATATTGTGTGATGATTGGATAATGAAAACTCAGAAAATTACTATAAGGGTGAAGTTTGGGCAGGAAATAAAATCCAGATTGTTTTAGAGCATCCAAATCTTCCAATCCTGACAAATGCTGATTTATATTTAACAGATAAATTGCTGTTCTTCTCGGTTAATATTTTATTTTTAAAACCAAAAGATGTTTTAATACCATAGAAGTATCTGCTATCTTTTGACTTTATGCATTCAAATAACTTTTACTATGAGTAACAAGACCTACTAAATTGTAAATTTAAAGGAATATTCAGCTGCCTAAAGCAAAACTCCATAGTGATCCCTGCTAAAACCATACAAATCATCAATAATAAGTATGAAGAGAATACAAGTGGAACAACAAAAACTGTATAACAACTCAATGGAGACTGGCTAAACTAAACAGGGTCATTTCTAAACTTGGTATTATAATTAAATGATAAGCTGAGGCTTAGCTATTATTAACTGAGACTTAGTGACCTTTAGGATAGTCTCTGATTAATTTGGTACAGAGTAAGCTGTTATTTCTAAGTAAGGTATTATAAACCAAGGAAAATTAAACGCAATGTAGGAACAATAAATAGTAAGTTGTTTTATCAAAATTTATCTTGATATTTCTTGTGGTAGTCCTACATTGTTGTGAAGGACAACTTAGAAATAAGAAACAGAAGAAATAATATTTGCTGAGGTAGTAGAAAGCTACCCATCACTAAGAAAAGTCAGGACAGATAGTTCAAGTGTATGACTGTGGGTTCTGATTTCTAAATAAGCATGTTATTTCATGATGCACTGTGTACACACACCCAACATGGTTTCCAACTCATAATACCATGTCCACAATGTTTTCCCTGAGCTATAAACTCCTTGAGGGTAGAGGCCACAGACTTTTCTTCTGTCTCTAGCTTGTACAAGAGCAACTAGAAAAAGAGCTCAAAGCATGCTCAAGTTCAGTGCTCTGTCATTGTATATCTCCTCCTGAAGGTCTTATTTTATTGTAAAATAAGCTTTGTGCTTCCATATGACTGTAACTAAAAAGGATTCAAGGAAGTCAGGGGAAGTGTTCAGTTGCAATTGTATCTGAGTTATTGAGATCTAGGGATGTTGCGCAACACCTTGGTATTCACTTTCTCTTTTTGCTGTGTGTTTTGCTTGTTCTCTGACTGTTCAATTAAACTATCAATCATATTTCATTATTTCTTCCCTGTATAAGCTCACCTGGGGAGATTCAGAGCAAATAGAAAATATCTGGAGAGACCAAAATAAGATAAAATAAATATACATAAAACATTAACCACAGCTGAAAAGCTTCCCACAGTTAAGATAAAAGATTCTTTGCTAATAACTCCATGCATACAAGTGTTAGTATGAGCCCTCCCTCCTGACATTCTCTAAACAAACCCAACTCATGGGTGGGTTTCCAGGTAGCAGAAACTATTCTATTTAAAATAATTAAGTCTAAACGTAGTGACTGATAAACACTTATTAGTTTGATTAGGTCTAATTTAGGACTCCATTCTGTTTTTATTTAATTTAGTATGTGTTTAAAAAAAGAGAAACAGTTAATAAAGGAATTGTATTTGTGACACTTCTTTTTCAAAAACCATTGGAAATGAATTTAAGGCCCTCCCAAAGCACTAAATTCAAAGACTTCTTTATGTTTCTATTTTGAGATTGGGTCTGGCTGTGAAACTAATGTGCCCAAGCTGAACTCAAACTTGTAATCCTCCTGCTTCAGCCTCCAGAGTGCTGTTTACAAAAGTGTGTCACCATGCCCAGTTACCAGATAGTAATTCTTAATTAGCTCCTAAATAATGTGAATTTTCTTCTTTTCACTGTGTATTCTTATACTGAACAAAATATTCTTGCCTTTGTATAATCCCAGCACTAGGATGTTGAGATGGGAATGCAGGTTCAAGCCTGGCCTATGCAACAGGTGATGTAGAGAGATCCTGTGTTGAAATAAAAAACTTAAAAAGAGCTACAGATGCAGCTCAGTGCAAAGGCCCTGGATTCAATTTCCAGTACTATAAAAAAGGCACCTTAGAAGATTTGCAAATTTAGTTAATAGTTAAGAATCTTTTTAAAGGAAACTAATAGAAAATGCAACTATTTCTTACTCTTTGATAAGCCAGTGAAAATATCTAAGTTTCAAATGCAGTATTTATTTTTCTTTTCTTTTTTATTTATTTTTTTCTATACACATACTTTCCAAAAATGTAAGAAATTAAAGTCTCATTAGTTCACTCTTCACATTTGAGAAACCAGTAGGGCAATTAAAAACACCTTCGCTCAAAGAAAAGTTGTGTTTTATACCTATTCATTCCAAGACTAAATAATTTCATAAGATAAAATAATTTCATCTGTACTTTAACAACCTCAGTTAAATACAAGATAACTTAGTGAGAGTAGCAGCACTGAGAAAATATGTCACCCAAGACTGGCATTAATGTTTCCTTTAATGAAGGGAATGAACATGTACTATATCTACCTCTTCTCTTACCAACATGAACATTAAAAAATGTCAGTCTATTTTGCTTCCTTTTGGAAATGGCTGCAAAAACTTTGAAATTCTATCAGAGAAAAATACCTCCTAATAATATTTTGCTGTCCACACATAAAGCAGGACATTGGAAGGTCAATGTATGGACTCAGATTATGTTAGATGTATTTGTGACTCGTTTGGATTTTAGTTCTGTGTTCCAGGATGAAAGTAACTCAGTTGATTCAGAAACCTTTTTTTTGTCGTTGTTGTTCTTTCTTAGACAACACAGTTCCTGAATGATTTAAAATAAATCCTAAAATAAGAGAATATGCAATATATTCCACCTGTTCCTCTTGCCCATTTACCTCCAAGTTAGTATTACTTTCTAAGAGTCTCTCTAGGCATTGATGGTTGACGCAGTTATAAAATTTAGCAGAATCCCGAGTAGGCTCATGATTGCAGAATTATTTTTCCATTATGTCAACATCTTTCAATTTGTTACATAAAATTTAAGAAACATTCATATAAATACAGACATAGGTGGATTTACTGACATTTGAAAGCACTTACTTTCAGGAATAAGTGGTAAAAGAAAAACAGTGTATAAAAGTATCTGAGGGGCAAATATTTCGTCCTTCTGGGTGGTATTTTTTATTTTATCTTTCAAATTCAGAATCCTGGGGAGGAAGGATTGAGACCTATACTTTCAAAGGATTTTGATCAAAACATAGTAGAAGATATTTTATGTCTCACTCAATATCCACTGATAAAATTTGTTTTGCTATTTAAAGTGCACTCTGATAATTTTTTTTTTCCATTCACTTTTTTACTGAAAAACTTTAAGGTGATCCATTATGATAATCTCATGCTCCAAAAAGTTTGGCAAACACTACTACAGATTTGTCTCCTCATTTGAAGTGTTGGAATTTTTAAACTTTCTAGATACTTGAGGTTGTTTATTCCATCATTCCATTTGGAGAACTTAATATGTCTTATAGGAAGACTATTGTAATATTATAAGATTAGTTAGAAATTACTAAAAGACATTACTATCTGATTTAGTTCCAAAATCAAAATTAAAAAAACTATCTAACATTTGAAATGAGGTTTTTGTGGCAAAATATGTCAATTTTATTTTATCAAATGCAAATAAATATTCAGAGCAATAGTAAGTTGTGCTGTGTTCATATTAGTGTGGTCATACAATGGGATTCATCAAGTGTATAATGGAAAGTCAGTGATTTCCAAGTATGAAATCTCTCACATACTGGGAAAAAAAATATCAATCTCCACGTATAAACAGAGCCTTTCAGAAAAGTCATTTTGAATTTTTCCAGCTCCTAGATCAACTGTTAGGCTAAGCTCAAGCATTTGAACCTCCTTGGTTTGTTTATGTAAAAACTACTTGAATTTAGAATGATGTTCAGCATCTACAATGCTGTTTGACCTAAAATATTCTTTGTTTATATTTCTATCTCCAAAGTAAATCTTTTGCAACCTCATTTTATTGGCTTTTGTTTCTTAGTAAAATTTCCTTAGCAGACCTTTGAGTTCCACTTGAGTGTGCTGGGGAAGGACAAGATGTTTTCTTGCACTTGTTTATGGCTGGGAGCATGCTGGGAATACTGACACACAGCTCAGTTCAACCTGGGCACAGGAATGTGTTGGGTGTTTACTGCTATGCTAAGCAATAAGATGCCCTCTTGATTGTGAACATTTTAAAAAATAGCCAGTACTTTATTATTTCTTTAAAAGAATGAAGTCATACCAATTTCCAGTATCCAATGATAAATTGTATTGTGAAGTATATTTTCATTGTATCAGAAAAAAAATCTCCTTTATAATAGAATTTTTATCTTTTGATCACTGGGAAATTATTTCCAAATTTATGATTTCTAATTATTTTAAGATTCCTTAAATAATTTTTATAACTCAAAAATAAGATAATGTATATTATTCTTTACTTCACACACTTCAAGTGATTTATATTCAAATGCTTTATAGCAAAATGATTGAAGAATCATTTAGTAAAGCATATATGTTCCCGATTTTAAGTTTAAGCCATAATTATTAGAACACTTAAATATTACTTCGTTTTTATTCATTAAAGTAGTTTTGATTCTTGAAAATGAAGCACAGAGATATTTATCCAAGGATATATATAATAATAAAACTAATTGAAAAAGGGCAAGTATATTGAAGAATGTATTCTGATGTGAAATATTATGTTTTATGTATATACAGTGTTTCTCAAATGAAATTTAATGGCTTGGGAAATACAATATTGTGCATAAAATGTTTACAAATATATGTAAGAAGAATATAATCCCAATATTGTTTTTATAAATATTGTATATGAGTATC